AATGTAGTTTGACTGAGAGAGTTGACCCCATAGACGTACAACACAGAGATCGGATCCGACACTTCCTGGCGTCCGCTGTTGCTACAACTAAGATGGCCGCTGGAGATCCAACAGTGGATGATGTTCGTCGTTCACCTTTAGACAAATATGTTCACAACTTTAAAAACAAATAACACAATCTTTGTGCTTGGTATTATGTACAATTAATGTAGAAATGTAGAAGGACGCAAACAAAGTCTATAGCATCGTCGAAATCATAGATGACTTTACGTGTATGACTCCTAAAATATGGTTTAAAAACAAATGTCTTAAATCACGCATTTCCTTTTTCAAAAAATGTTTACTGACATTTACTGACGTCAAATTGTCAATAAATCTTTAAATGGATTAATATAAATATGTAAACTAAACATTGCGCAGACATTCTATCGTTTCTATTGGATTTGCTTCTATGCTCTAGCCTGTCACATGACTCCAAACGACCAAATTTGAAAGGTAGCCTGTGATTTTCACTGATTTATACACGTGTCAATGGTTTTTGGTTATTAAAATTTCAAATGTGCGTTTACAAATGTGGTATTTCCTATTTCAATTACCCAAAAGGAAATATAAATTCATACACCTTTATTATTTTTTATAGTTCGTATGACTATACACTTAATTCAGATAAACATTGGTATTTACTACAAAGGCCATAACTGTCTTCCCCAAACACAGGTATACAGAACCCGAATGGTACACCATTGCATGGGATGCATGGATTTTTTTTCTCCACATTTCATACTAACAAATGTTTCCAATATTGTTTAATTTTGATGATTTAAAAAAAACAACATTTTATTTTTGTCCTTTTTAACTAGTTCTTTAGATGAAATGAAAAAGTGTTATTTTTATAATTAAGAAAAATGACAGTTCTTCTTCTGTTTTGTGTCTTTTTGTTCATCTAGTGGTTTATTATATGTTCTTCCATTATGTGTTGAATGTGTTTTCTGTTCATATGTGGCATTTGAAAAAATAAACAGTTCTATATACAACAATTTCTTTCACATCAACATTTATTAATTTTAAGTAGATCTAAAATTTAAGGTATCAACAATTTTATTATTTTCTTTTGAAACTGCATTTAGAAGAAATTTGTCTGTATTCAAAGAAGACAAGTCCAGCAGTACTATTACCTTATGGGCAACAGCTGCAACAAGAGTTTTATATTTAATAGACCTAATCATTAAATACGTTTTTCATTAATACAATAGGATTCATCATGAGAAACGTGCAAAACTTGAGATATTTACCTCCTCTTTTGTACTTGTTTGTACAAAAGTTTTGTTTACAGTTAAACAATGTTTACAATGTGACAAACCAAAGACTCTAGGCAGGTGGAGTAGTTTATAGTGACATCTTTATTATTATTTGGTCTTTTTTTGCATTCATTAATCATCTTGAGATGAGAACAGAAAATACATTTTTTTCCACAAGCCATCATCAAAATCACATCATATCTGCCATGGTCAAATACCCTGGAAAATAATTTAAATTGAATTCTCACTTTTTAACATGCTGCTCACAGATACATCAACTTCCATGTGTTGGCAAACCCGACCTGTTTGTCAGGAGTATGTAGTGTAGCTACATTCAATTAAACCATTGAAGGTACTTTATCATATTTTTATATTCACAAGCTTAAAGTCACAGTTACACAATGTATAAATACACAAAAAACACAATACACCTTTAAACACAATATATACATGTCGTATTTTAATTGATTTCTTGAAGGTTAAAGGTTACGATCATAAAGATAAATCTTCCTCATCATAGAATGTAAATTACAAATTAAATTAAACTAATTGCAATTCAACAGTGTAACCCTATTTACAAGTTACTTAATATTTATTTTCCTCATAAGTCAAATTTAACTCGACCCATAACGAACAGCAATAACATTAAAAAATTTTAACACGTTTAACAGTTTTCATTTTGACGTATCTTAAGCACGTCAGAAGTACAGTAACTGTCACTGTTAAAATCTACCTTCTGACTCAGGACAGATGTATAAAAAAATGAATTTGGGTGAAATGTTAGCAAATCACAGTTCTTTTCCCGAACTTGCTTGATTGTGAAAATTTAAAAAACAGTTGTGGCTGCGTGAAATACACAGAAAGACGCAGCACTTAAGGCATAGAACTCGAGATGTTCTCTGACAGTCTCCAAATCGACATCTGCCCCCCTCGCCCTCGCCGAGCTGCTCGGGCCAGTGTCCTGAACCATCGTACCGCGTGGCTGCGTCTGGCAGAGGGCTTTCCTCTACCAGGCTGGGACTGGGACCCTCATTTGTGGCATGGGTATTCTCTGTGGGAGGGTGAGGAGGAACAGAGTCCTGGGTATCAGAGCCACTTGAGAGGATCAATGATTTTGACACCTCCAGTCTGAAGTCCATGAAAGTCAAGTGTGCAGATAGTTCTTTGTGATCCTGTCGGTACTGGAGCCAAGAGTTGACCAAAGCTTGATCTGTCAGGTACCAGAGAACTGCTTGAGGCCAACAGGTTGCGGCCGATGCAGTGACAGGAATGGGATAAAGTTGTCGCAAATCTCTGTTAAGTTGAGCCGACATGTGTGCTTTCTCAAAGCTGTCCACCAGAGAGGCCATGTTCCTGTGTCCTATTCCAGCAGTGGAAAGTATGAAGCCGCAGTGTGATCTACGTAGCATCAGCTTCCCGTCTGAGCTCACAAACTCATCTCCGATCTGTCCTCGTGCTCCCCCAACCCTGCCCGCACCGTGAACCCCGGCGGCGAGCAGACGTTCGAGCATCGCGGGAGTAGAAAGTTCTTGTTTGCAAAGAAACACTGTACTGCCTCGTGGGACCATCTTTTCTACAGCTTCCTCTTTATCTGAGAGATTAATTTTAAGATCCAAATGTAGGAGCAAACCACCAAATCCAATCAACATAGTGCACGGAAAGGAGTACTTTTTGTTGTGCTGCTCGCCAGTCAAAGGAATAAGATATTGGTCAACAGCATAATCGTCCTGTCTTCTCAGAGCCTGACACCCTGCTTTGAACCGTGACACTAATGGCTGAACCTTCCACAAGGGATCAGTCTGTGGTGTTGATAAACTGGATTCATTCGCTCTGTAACACTGACTGGGTTCAACACTCTGTCTTCTTATTTGAAGGTCAGCATCACGCCTTTCCTCTGCAACGTGCCTGTTTATTGGATCTCCTGGTGGAGCAGCTAGTCTCAACACACGCGACAGCTCAGTGAAGCGAGACAATGACATGGCGTCACAAATTAAGGGCACTTTAGTCAAGTCCTGCCAGTACAGCTTTGGACTGGGAAACTGGAAAGCAGGACAAGACCAGGTTAACATGGAGTTCAAACGTTCTTCAATATTTCATTCAGGCTAAATTTGTTTTTGCGAACAAAACAAAATAATACATGACAAACCTTTAAAGTTCCCATTGCGATGTGGATCCCAACAAACTGTGCAACCTCTTTTGCTGAGACAGACGTCGTCACGTTGGGTAGTGAATTTGTGCAGTGGGCTACGTCTACCCATGTATCCCAACCAAAGTAGGTGGAGAAGTATTCGATTGGCTTCTTGCTACTCGTTTCTCGGCGCTCGTTTGTTGAAGTCACCTCACTAAAGACAAAAGATTGAATGACTCATCATAGATACATATTATTACATATTACGACATTTGGATGTTTAAATAAGGTTCAATGTTTTATTTCAGTCTATGATGTTAGGACTGTGAAATAATTCAAATGAATCACACCAATCACAGAGTAGCTGTGGATTAATAAAAAAACAAAAAAAAAACAAGTCAAGATAAATCAACATTACTTAATATGACAAAACAAATTCTATATACGGCCAAACTGATAAATAACAAATAACAGGTAGAGGTTTTTCACACCAAATAGTGGAATTATGAAAATGGAAAAATGTGAAGAAAAACAGGCAAAACTAAAACTGACTGTCAAGCTGAAGTTTAAGCCTTCACACACGCAAATACATGATAGTGTTGAGATGGTATTTTAAGCTTGAGGTGCTTCGATGAAATGAAAACAACTTGTGTATGGACTGTGTACTGGAGCAATAAGGGGACGGACCATGGAATGACTGGATATGGGCTGTTACTGCCCTAATAAATGCCCGTCTAAGTGAACGTCTTCTTTACCTTTGAGGTGCGGCAGCTGGTTGTGGTGGACCCTGGTTTCTGTTCTTGTAGAAATAAGCCATAATCTCTTCTTCTGAGTGAAGCTGAGGATCAGATAGTTCCAAACCAACCGTGTCCTCTGCGTCAGGAGCCCGCAGGAGAAAATCCTGGAGGTCTGGTGGATTCGGCCACTCGTCATCTAAACCAGGCCAAAAACTGTGTTCAGTAGTTGTCATTTAGTGGTTATGGCCAACAGACAGTTTTAAATTACAAAAATATGTCACTCACCTTGTCCATCTGCAAAGTCACTGACCCCTGGGAAATCCTTCATTTCCTGGTTGTCCTGTGCAGCATGGCTCCCTTCACCTGTTGTAAATCCCCATTGAAAAGCATTAATTAATGAAGCCTCTTCATTAACCTCTGACATCCATAACAATTACACAGGCACTCACACAAAGAACCATCTGCACTCTGAAGCTCAGGCTGATCGGCAGCACTGGATCCAGCTGAGGTGGAAGTCCCCCTGCTGGTCACAGTGGACTCTATAGGAACCTCTCTCTCTTCCTCCTTCACGGGGTAGAAGATGCACTGGACACTGTGGAACTCTTTAGTGACACAGCAGTCTGTCGTCTCTTCATCCTGCATCACTGACAACACAAAGGAAACGCGATTCATGAGTCAACGTTGACATTCTATTTTACAGACTGGTGGCTTTGCATCACTGATCAGCTGAACATTTTCTTTCTGCAACGATAAAGGACAGCGATGGTGGAGACGGGAGACTAATTAATGTTGTTGAGGAGCAGGGGTCCACCAAAGTTATGAAGGCAACTCTTGACACATAGTAAAAAAACATAGTAAAATTATTACAAATAATAGTCTTCATAGTTGTTACATCAGTTTTGTAGAATTTGAGTTATACTTGAACATAATATTCTGCCATATTAATAATTTCACAAATTAAAACAGGTGAGAAACACATACATATATCGGTCTTTCTGTCCCAGAAGTGTACAGATTATATTTAGAAATGACAGTTTACCTCGATTAATCACGACTAATCATGATTAATCGAGGTAAATCAAGGTACATTCGAGATAAATTAATTCATTAATCATGAAAACTCATGTTTAAAGTCATAATTAATCATGATTAATCATGAAGACTTATGGTTGTAGTGAAGGCAGATTTGTACATAGCTAACAGAAATTGGTGACATGAGATTGGGAGAGATGGACACGGAGGACCGTCAAAAAAGTAAATAGAAAATACTTAAGAAACCACGGCTCACCAGGGGTGTCAGTGTTTCCATTATTCACTGGCTCCATGTTCCATCTGACCAGACTGCTCTCCTCTTTCACCAGAACATCACGTTGTTGCTGACGCTGCACACTCGTGTTCGGTTTGTCTCGAGACACAGGTACCACAGGTGGTGAATCTGACATGGTCTCTTCAACCTTGATCTCTGGGATCCCACCGACGTGACCCTGGAATCAAAATAAAGTCAAAACTGGGATTTTTCTTAACTGGTTTTTAAAGCACTAATTTGGGTGTTGAGTCACATCTTACTGGTCTTGGACTGTCCTTTGCTGTCATGGTGCACGGCGTTTTGTCAGCACTTCCCTTCTGCCTGAGGGTGAGAAACTTCTCCAGGATGATGCCTGGAGATCGGTCAGTGTCCCTGTCCTCCTCGTCTCCACCTTGCAGACCTCCCTCATTCATCACTTCATCAACACTAGTAGTGACCGAGTCCAGCTCAAACACAACTTGTTCCTCAGCAGATCCCTCTAAAACAGAGGGGATTAGAGGTGAATGTTCAACAGGAGCAGCAGGTTGGTTGGCCTGTGATTCAGGTCTGGTCTCTGTCTGACAGGTTTTAATTCCGGTCTGGTTTTCGTCCTCTTTTTCTAAATCAGGATTGATGGGATGCTTTTCAAAAACTACCTCACATTCATTCTGCTCTTTCTCTGTCTCAGTTGTGACTCCACCTTCTTCTCTCCTCTTAATTATGACATTGTTGGCGTCGGCGCCTTTCCCTCTACGTTTTTTTCTCTGGACCAACATCTCCTCCTCTTCTTCCTTGATTTCTTCTTGATGAGTAGAAAAGGACACAGTCTGAGAAGTCAAACTTTTTGCTCTTGGTGTTTCAACAACCCGACCAGTTGCTTTAGGTGTTTCAGAGTTTTCACCCTCAGAAACAGAACTTTCGTTCTCGTTTTGCTCAGGACAAGTTTCCAGATTAGACCCAGAACCTTCTTTATCGTTCTGCTCCCCGACGGTAACTAAATCAACCTCAAGAAGTAAATCCTCTTTGACATCTTCTTCCATGTTACCCTTATCTTCAGAGTCTGAGCTGGGGTGTTTCTGGGTACCTTTCTCTTGCTTGCTTTCACTTGATGCTGAAGGTTCTGCTGTCTCCAAATCCTTTGACAGAATAGAGTTTCTTAACTCACTTGGAGATGTAGCACTGTTAGCTAATTGTGAAGTAACATCTCCAGAAGCTTGAGACTGAGCACTAAGGTCAATATCCACAGGAGCAGGAGCAGGAACCGGTAACGACGGGGAGGGAATCAAAGTTGGAAAAGAGACAGTTGTCTCTCTGTCCTCTGAAGCCTTCTCTCCCAGCTCAGGCTCAGTGTCCCAGTCTGTGGCAACATTCAGCCTGGAGACCCCTTCAAAGACGTTCCCGTTGGTGTAGGTGAGATCAGGACTATCCAACATGTGAATTGTTGCCTTGTGTTTTTGAAGGGATGACAGTTCGTTAAATCTCTGCCCACAGTCCTTGCAGTCCAAGGCCTGTTTGGACGTTATCACACCTTCCGTCTCTATTTTCGAGGAGGACTTTCGTTTCCTGGTGGTCTTGGGCTTGGTGGGCGCTGCCTCAGTTGGTTGACAAGAAGGATTTAAAGACGCCAACAAGGACAAAACTTTCGGGCTCTTTTTTGTTCTTCCTCCCTTCTTCCCACTCCCTTTGACAGGATTATTTGCAGACTCCTGCGTGGGTGTGGTGTCGTCTTTGCTCTGTTGTGTCTGAGAGTCTTGAGGGTCGACCTCCGGTGTCTGACTCGAGGCCTTTGAAGGGTCTAACTTGTAAACTTTCAGCTGTGGCTGTTTGTGACCCCTGAGTAACAGCAGACAGTCTTGTGTTATGGGTGAACCTTGTTTGGTTGTTTTTGAAATGACTTTTTCTGACTTTCCCAGGTTTTTCTTTCTCTTCCTCTCTTTTGGATTGTCAGACTGGTCTTTCATCGTTGTGGCTTGTTTTTTCTTTCCAAACACTGGTGATGCAGTTTGGGGTTTACTTGCTTCCATGACACCCTCTCGGACTTCTCCTTCTTGCTTTTTTATTTGAGTTTTCTTTGTGTGCTCTTTGATTTTCTTCACCTTTGGACCTCGTATGGTTGAAGGTAGTTTTCCTTCAGCTGAAGAAACCAAATGTCCTACTTGTCTATCTTTCTTTCTCTTCCTCCCCTTCTTCGATGGGGCTACTTTTTCCTCAGCTGTGTTTGTCGTGACGTCTTCTTGTGGTGCCTGATGCTGATGTGAAGCTCTCTTCTGCTTCTTGTTTCTCTTATCTTTGCCTTGTGGCCCAATTTTCACCACAAGACGAGACTTTTTGTTTCTTTGGCGTTTGGCGGGCCTGGCGTTTAGCTGAAAATCGTCACTGTAAACAGAACTGATCTGTTCCTGGATGTATCCTTGGAAGAAGAACGCTCTTGCAGGTTTTCTTTTTCTCACTTTAACCAACTCCTGAGCTGACATTACATTTACAGGCAACTCGGAGATCTGCAGCTTCTGCTTGTTCTCCGACACTTTCTTCTTGGCAGAGAGGTTATTCTGAGCAGAGGTGTTCTCTTTAGCAGCTGACGACTCCTCCTCAACTGGATCCTGCTTTTTATCTTCCGGTAATTTCTCAGTTTTTTTCTGTTCAGATAATTCTAGTTCAACCTTTTCAATGCTCTCCTGCGGTGCATCTTCATCCATCACACTGTGAATGTGTTCTGGTTTTTCTGTCTGCATCTGTGAATCTTCATCTTTTTCTAAATTTGATTCTGACGTACTTAAATACTGGGTTATTGTGTCAGGGGAAACAACAGAACTTGGAGGAATGTTTCCCATGTCAGTTTGTATGCTAGTCTCCACTAACTCAGCTGCTGAAATAAGCTGGGGGTCCGACATGCTGCCCTCCTCCTCCTCACCCTGTGGGGGCTGATCAGGGGATTTTGCCATTTGGGAGGTTGACACCAAAGAGGAGGTTGGAGTTTCGTTGTGTTGACCAGTGTGGGATAGTTCTAACTCTGAAGTTGGTATCAGAGCAGGAGTGAGTTCTAATATGACTGTCTGCTCCAGGTTTATGTCGTTGTGACAAACCAACTGATCCACAGGTTCAGACTGAACCTGGTTAATGTCATGCTGAATGATCTGGTGCAGCACGTCTCCCTCTGGTCTCTCGGCCTCTGCGCTGTGAACAAGTGTTAGCTGTATGTCTTCACCTGCGGCTATGTGAGCGCCGAGTTCTGAAAAAGTGGCGCTTTCCAGCTGTCCATCTGGTGTAATGGGCTCCAGGATGATTGTCTGTTCCATTGGATCACACTGGTTGTTTAGGTCGTTCAGTCCAAGGGTCTGGGACTGTTTCAGACTCATGAAATCTATCTGTGATGGACTCAGATTTACTGTTTCAGTTAGATGTGATATCTGCTGCAGTTCCAGAGGCTCAGCATGAGGTGGCACCTGTCCCAATATGACCACTTGATTCACTTTTTGCACATTTCCTAACGATTCAATGAGTCGGCATATCTGCTCCGTGTCAACATTGGCGTCAACCTTCTGCAAAGGTCCATTTGGCTCCAGCTGTAGCAGTCCTGGTTGACAGACTGATATTGGAGTAATGATAGGAGTACTTTGTTTTACTTGCTGCTTTGCTGATGTCTGATTCCTGGTTCCAGAAGGCAACATATTGTGCTTTGTTTTCATATGATGAAGTCGGGTCCTGGGACTTTTAAAACTGGCCTTGCATAGGGAACAGGAATACCTGACTGTAGAATTGCATGAAAATAACAAAACATAGGTCATAAAATCACATTACTCTCACCATCTTACTGCAAAAGGTAAACTCGGCGTGTTAATGGTATAAAAACAAAATAAAATTTAGCCTCTGGGAATACGAGTGATGGTTTCAGAGTCCCTGTCAGGATTTAAATGGTTTACGCAACATAAATATTTTATACTATTGTTCTCTATTTTCTTCAAAGGAATAGGGTTTAAAAGAACTGAGAAGTAAAGCAGTATATATGCAGCGAGTACACGTTCAAGGTACTGAGATTGAGGAATGCATACACAGTATATAACACACAGTATATAGGCAAGTACAGTTCAAGTAAAAACAAAAATGAGAACTTGAGATGCTCACCATCATTTTTCTTTGTTTTAGCTGCAGCGTCTCCCTCCTGCACTTCAGCGCCCTCTGTTGAGTGAGACAAAATATGTTTCTGCAGAGCCTTGGGCATTGGGAACCTCTTGCCACATTCCTTGCAAATATAGGGCATCTCCCCAGTGTGAGCACGACGATGATACTTGAGCAAAGTCAGTGTTTTGCAAGGTTTGCCACAGTCGGTGCAGGAATATCCGTCCTTGCCAAAATGGCTCTTTTTATGAAAGGTTAGCTCTGTTGACTTCCTAAAGGCCAGGCCACAAATCGGACATTTGAACGGCTTCTTGTCCGTGTGGGTTTTCTGATGGGCCATGAGCTCCGTGGAGTTCGTGAAGTGACGGTCACAAACGTAACAGGCAAACAGGGCGTTCCTCAGTATGCACTGTTCGTATTCTGCAGGGTGGCTCAGCTTCAGGTGGCGCTCTTTGCTCTTGTTGTCACTGAAGATAATGTGGCACTCATCGCATTGTCGAGACAGCATAGAAGCTAGATCGAAAAAAGAAAAGAGGGATGAGAAGTTGACTTTGTAGGCAGACAGTCACACAGGACCTGAAACAGTGATCCGTTTCCAGGGCGACAGTATAACAGTCAGAATTATGAAATGTAATTGTAACACTTGTTGCCCTGTTAATGGTGTAACAGCACCTGGTGCTGAGACACTGAATTATGCATCCACTTGTGGTCTAAAGTAATAATTTAAAGTTATTTTTATATTATATATTATTAGTATTATTTTCTATTCAATCATGTAGGAATATTGCAGTAGCAGTACAAGAACGGTAGAGTAGTAGATGATAGGGTTGATGTCCAGTCTGACCAGAAAGACCAGATGTTGTGAAACCCAGCTCGTGTATGACCGTAAGTACTTTATAACTAAGCTAGCTGCAGCAATATGTATCCACACTGACAATGCCATGATTCGGATTAGTCAGACAAAAATACTCAACCTACACTTATTTGTTCCAGTAACATATGGGAAAAAAATCATGATTAATGCACCACTACCATTTAATTAAGCAGATTTAAACAAAAGAAAAGAAATTGTTTGATTTCTGATCTCTGAAACATTTGAGAATTTTTTTGGATACCAAGTATTTATGACTAATTTAAGTACAAAGTGAAAAAGACTCACATGTAAAATGCATTTCCAGTGAACTGGACGTGTCCATTTTCAGAGGATCAGTCATGGCTTTCTTGGATGGGACGTATTTCCTGGCACCACTTTGGCCTTTCTCCTTCGTTTTTGCCATTGCTTTTGCCTCATCCACACACGGACGAGTTGTTTGTGGCTCACACTCAGTGGTGGCCACAGGATTTGGAGTTGACTCCATCACCTCCATCTCTTGATGGTCTCTTTCTCCAGAAGGTGACTGAACAGCAGTCCCATTCTCCACTGCTGCAGTGGCCGTCCCAGCTGCAGATGTTTCTGCTGTTTGCAGCTCAGCCTGGTGTTCTTGTGGTAAAGAGGTTCTTTTTTCTGTGTCAACGACAGCGACCTTCACTGTCTGGACATGCGTTTCATCGGATCCTGGCTGAGCATCAGTTACCATGTCTTGTGTTAGCTCTGTTGGTGCCGTGGTCACGGGGCTTGGTTCACTGTGTGCTGGGGTAGTTCCCTCCATGGCTGCCCACCAGCTGGCCTCTTATATGCACTGGTTCATGATTCTATGAAAGCACATCGCCAACTAGGGCTGTTAATAGTGATTGTTCGGGTGTCTAAATAAAAAACCGCTATTATTTCATTGATCCCGAAACACGTAAACGAACATTTTAACTGGAGTAATGCCGTTTATACACAAACGAACCGTTTTTATCAACATGCGACCGCCTGGGAAACCGGCGAATAAATGGGCTTTAGAACGTTTGTAGTACAAAGGAACACAGGAGGAAAGGCAGGGCAGGGCACTGAAGATAGTGCCGTGGACAAATGAAAAGCCTAAATAAACCTTCCACCAGTTCGTATGGACGTGTACCTTCCAGACTGACCAAAATCTGGTTAGCAAACCACATGTATATTAACATTAGTAACGTATTAAGCCTCCAATCACTAATGGGCGGTTAAAATGTAGACGTAAAACGTTCGCTTTTCTGACCTGCTGCGGTGTAAGCTACTAAAACTCATGCGCATTTTGTGTCCAAAGTTTTCACACACACTTCCGCATCCTTGTGGTAAAGCCTGATGGTGTAGATCGGATGGATACCTGCGCTTGTCTGTCGGTCCAAACATCAGCATCTCTTTTGCACAAAGACTGCACACCCGAGCTATAGCTGTCGTGACGTCACGGACAACAACAGAAGTGCAGAGGATCATGGGAGTTTGCGTTTTTTTCACCCAGATTAAGGTCGATAGATATATAGATAGCTTTTAAATTGAATAGTTTAAATTCACCAATTTCTTAAGCTATATTAGGTAATTTTTTTTCTGGGAAGTGTTCGTGCTACATTTTTGCACCATTTGGTTTACTTCTAGCCAACTCACAACCTTACCCTTTTTTATTCCTGAGTAAGCCCAAAAGACCACGAGATGGAGCTATTGCACCCGGACTAATCTACTGTTTTCTACTAAGATGGTGTTTTATGTTCTACCCTTGATTAGTGTGAACTGACGGGGTAACTACTGCTATTTTATTCAATTCAATTAAAAACATTTTTTGGCTATAAACTCCATTACCCGGTCTTTTGTAGATTAGCTACTGTTACCTGTTCCACGACTGTCATAGCTGACATGTTAGCTCTGGTGTCCTTGCTCGCTGGAAAATGGTTTGCTTGGAGTTGATATCGACGGCTCTGAAAAGAAAATTCTTTGTTGTACAATTTACACAACCAAGCTCTGGTGATGACAATGATCAGCAAAGCTACTAAACTATACACGTGTCCAGTAAGTCAAAGCATCGTATCAAGGTTGGGAAGTTAGTATTTTATTTAGTTGTACAAAAAAAAAATACACTTGCTACAATAGCTCTCAGTTAGTACTTTAACAAATTAGCCTCTAAAACAGTCAGAAATCAGTGATAGCACTCAATGTCAGTCACTGAAGGCACCAGCATGACAATGCTGCTGTTTCATCCCTCTGTATCACTTTGAGGAAAAGGAAGTTCTCCAGTTGCATGTTTTATATAATGTGAATGTAGCTTTTCCACAGCATCAAAGCCCTTGTCACATACCACACATTCCCATTCCCAATATTTATGCTCTCCGTGAACTCTAATTTCCTTAGTGACTCTCTTATTTAACTCTTGTCCATCTTGTGGTTGCACATTTTCCAATTCAGACTCATCAATTTGTCCATATGAGGAGATGTAATGTACCGGCTCCCCGCAGTCTTCATGCTTTTCATGATCTCCTGAGTCAGCATCGTCGCAGGACTTTTCCATTTCTGCTCCTTCTGGCAACTTTTTGACATCTTTGTTCCCCTTTTCTCTTTCTGGCCCTTTGTCTGTGCCAGGAATGACAGGAGTCTCATCTTGTGCCACTCCAACCTTTCTGATTATCATGGATTTCTTTAACTCTGGAAGATTGTATTCAGAGCCTGCATACACGCTGAGATGCTTCTTGACATGTTTGCTGGTATTTGCAGATTTGGGAAAAGTTTTTCCACACAGTGTGCATTCAAACGGCCTAAGTGTTTTATCTGTGTGAATGTTGTAATGAAAGCCGAGGCGAGAGAAGGTGGGAAAGCTTTTATGGCACACGTCGCACTTGTGTTGCTTCCATCTATGAATCTGCATGTGTTTGGTTAGTAAGTCTTCATTTGCAAAACCTCTGGTACAGCTCAAGCACCAGAATGGTTTCTGTTTACGGGTGTCAACGTGGATCATCCAAGATTTTAGGCTTGTAAAGATTTTGTGACACTGATTACATTTGGGAAGGCATCTGGTTTTGTGGTCTTTCATGTGAGCACATAGCATTAACAGATTGGAAAAATATTTCCCACATTCTCTGCACTGATATTTTAGCGTTTTAGGTGGAAGGGGTACCAACAGATTCCTTTCATGCAGGTCTTTGTGCTTTTGCAGTGACGACAGGTAGAAGTACTGCTTACCACAGATTGTGCAAAGATACACTCGTTTCTTCTCCACTCCATCATTGTGAAAAAAGTATGGGTCTTTTGTATGTGTAAAAACTTCCAATCCATTTGCAGTAGTGTCCATGTCTACATCATCCACGTTCACTGCCTCATCTTCATTCCCTGCCTCATCTTCATTCCCTGGAAGAAATGATGGCACTTCACCATCTTCCTCAGGATCTTGTTGCTGCTGAGTCTCAACCTCGCCTACAAAAGAAAAGAAATATATCACATTGTAAAATCTATTGACAAACTTATTAAAAAAAAAATCAAACACAAAACCTAGAATTCTCCATTAATTTTGTTGTTCGTTGACTTTCCAGCCAACATTTGACTTTTGGTACAAAAATGCCCAATGAAGACTGGTGATGTCACCATTGTTAAATTGCAGAAGGTAAAAGAGAACTTACAAGCCTGAGTCTTGGTTCTGCTCCTTATTCACAGTTGATCAAAGCATCTGTACAAGCCTCAAAATGAGTATTGGAGCAGTGCAAATCTTTAAATTTTTAAATTGAACATGATCAAATGGGCAAACAGTCTCTCAAACAGCTAAACTACCACCTCAAAGAATTTTGACTTTAGTAATGATAATAAAAAAACGGACTTAAACGGCTGATCAATTGCAGACTTTGTAAAGAGTACGATGCATGGATTTCAACTGACTGAAGACTCATTCATTACCAACTATTGGAAACTGAGACTAATATCAAAAACCAACGGGTCTATAAAATCTAGTGCCAACAGGGAACTGAAATATTCATCAAGAAAACAATATGTACAATAACTGAAGCTGAATTAATCACACAATCCAGTAGTTTACATATATTTATCAATTTATTTGTCTTCCACTCTAAGACCGCCTGTAGTTCAGAAATCACACTTCAAAGAATCGATGTGAATGCTTTCACCTTAGTCCTCATAAATTAACATAGAAATTTACAATACACATAATCTGTAAACAGTTATCACACACAACATTGACACTATTAATGCCTAGCAGTATTTTTACAACATTCAAATGCAGCACAAAAAGTCAGGTTCACAAGAAAGGATAATTAATGCTAAAGGTATTGTACACAATGTACACTTGTTTGACAGTAAAACTGTTTCATAGCAGTAAATGGCGTTTTAACGGTTCTACGTTAGAACATCTCTAATGTCACTGATTGCTGTTATTTTTAAGGGACAACAGTCACGTACGCAAATCTTGCAGGAGGAGAATGTTGCAAAACCCTCATCAAACTTTCCAGGTTTTCTTAACTGCAAGTGGAATGTCACACACATGCAACAGCATCTCTACTTTTCATTAACACAGACATCATTTAAGTATTACACATTTGTATATACGCAGCATTATTCCAGTGTAAAAGTAAGTCGGACACAACAGAAACACTGTTCAAAGGAACTGCTTCTTTCCCTGCATCAAGTATTTCATGAGACTAGAGCACATGGGGAAAGCAGTTGTCTACTCTTCCTAAAGTCTAATGGGATTTTCTTGCTTAAAGAAAAAAAAACAAACTACAATCTACAGTGTCTTCACTTTAACTCAGACAGTGCTGGTGCAGTGGGTTTTTATAGTTCCATATTCAAGGCAGGTAGGAGCAGTGAGATCTCCTGAGGAGTCAGCCGCTTGGGCATCACTGATAATTGTAATCACCGATACATTCCTGGTGATGATCAATGAGTTCCTGTATTTCACTGAAGGTCCTCGGGCAAATAGAGCAGTGATACAAGTCATTGTTACAGTGTTGGGTTTCATGCTTCTGTAAAGCAGTTGGTGAGAGAAAGGCTTTGCCACAGCGTTGGCACTTATGGCTACTTTGTAAATGGTTTTCCGACTTAGGTGTGGCCTGGTTCAGAGTAGAAGACGGACAGGACCTGACTTTGTTGTCAGGAGAAGGGACTTTTGATTTCCGGGGACTAGAGGCAACAGCAGCACTCAGCCGGTATCGCACCTCATTTGGGAGACGACCGCGGACTTCATCGTGCCAGGTGAGGTGCTGCTGGAGCTGACTCTCGGTCCAGAAGCCATGGCAACACAGGGCACAGCAATAAGGACGGCTCTTGGCCTTGGTCTTATGGTTGCTTAAATGTTCCTCTGTTTGGAAAGCTTTTCCGCACATATTGCACTTGTAGAAACACTTGACTGAAGCTTCCAGCAGATGGTTAGACAATGGAGAAACCTCTACTTCAGAAGACTGGTCCTCCTGCTTTAAGCTTTGCTTAAGCTTTGTGCACAATTCCTTATGGTCACGTAGTGATTGTGCAGAAATGCAGTTTGTCTCGCAGTCAAGACATTTTAACTCAGCAAGTTCCACAGACTTGTCCCCGTTCTCGTCGCAGCTATGTTTCTTTGTGGAGTAATCTAGAGCTGACGGCTCTTCTGTTTTCTGGACTTCACAGCTTTCAGAAATGGGTTCCTCTTGTGAACCCAAAGAAACTATCAACGGGCTATTTGATTTATCCAAGTGGACCTGCCACAGATGGACACCCAGACTCTTTTCTTTAGCAAAGCTCATAGAACAGCAATGACATTGGTAAATTGTTCTCTTCTCAGCCAATGAACTGGACTCTGTCCTTTTAAGAGAGACTTCACCTTGTTCTGGGCTGGGGTCGAGAACAGGCCGATCTTTTTCATAAACAGCCTCTAACATTATACCATGCTCATTTCGACAATGTGCGGCTAAAAGTGATTTTTGCACAAATGTCTCATTACATTGTGAGCATGCCAGCTTAACGTTCTGCAATGCCACATCACTCTGTGTATTTTTGTCAGAATCTGTCTTGGCATCGTCTCGACATCGAGGATTTAACATCTGGTGTCGCTGAAAAACGCGCTGGTTAAAAAAATGCTTGCCACAGGTGTTGCAGTGAAAAGACCCGACCTCTTTATTGTAGCTAGCAGACTTTAAATCATCAGCTTTGGGCCGGGACTGGGAATTCTTTTTCCCTTTGTGCAGTCGTTTGTGAGAGCCAAGGGCTGCATTGGACAGGAAGTGCCTTCCACAGTCGGTACAGTAAAACTTCCTCTTACCTAACTCTTCCGGTTTAGGCTTCTTAAGCATCACCGACAACGCCACTTTTGCCTTAGGTACAGTTGCGTAGCGCCCCGAATGAATTCTTTGATGGAGATTTAAAGCTCCAACAATAGAAAAGCTTTTGTCACACATGTTACATTTGTATTTCATATCTGAGGTGGGACTTTCTCCCTTTACGTCTATTGACTTGCTGTCAATTTCTTGCTTGACTTCAGTATTTACACTCCAGTGCTTAGAGCCTCCCTGTGAACTAACAGCCAAATTGTCATCGTGAATTGTTAGTGTGTCATTATTCAATAAGTGGTCTTTCTGATCATCGAGTGCCCGGTTCTCTCTTCTAATACATTGTTTCTGATGAGCCTGTAACGAGGTTTTGCTATTGAAATGTGCAAGGCATGTTGCACACTGGTGATCCACCAGCATTACAGACGATCTGGGCGATGAAAGATACAGCCCCGTTTCGTACCCGTGACTTTTCATATGAAACTGAAGCGCTTTGGCCCGCGAAAACAGCTTTCCACAGTCGGGACAGCTGTACGAGTTTTTCTTCAACTGTTCCACCTGATGCTGAAAAGACTTAATGGGCGGTGGAAGTAACTGGTCATTATGCACAACCTGGTGTCTAAGCAGGCTGGAAAACAGACGGAACGATCTTGGGCAAAGGTCACATTTATGGTTCCCATTTTCATGTTTCCTCATATGCAACTTCATTATGCCCTTGTGACGAAACTTCCTACCACATACTGGACATGCAACTTTAACGGTGGAGCGAGAGTGTCTGTGAACAGAGTGCAAAGATTCTTTATCACCTTTTCTTTGCCTCAATTCTGCACATTCTTTCTGATTCTGCAAGTGATGGGAATAAGCCCCTAAAGACCAAAACCCTTTGCCACACTGTTTACAATAAAAACTTTTTGGGCCCAGAAGGGTCTTTTTTGGATTGTATTCTCTCTGAGTAACTGAAATAGTCTCCCCCGTATGGGCAGAGGGGCAATTTTTCATGTGGTTAAACAAACCAGCTGCATGCAAAAATGACATCAAACAATCTGGGCACTGAAATCGTTTTCTTTTAGGATGATGTAATTGATGAGAGACTAAAGTAGACAAATTTGAGAAGTTTTGACCACACTCACCACAAGTCAAGTCTTTCTTCTCTAACTCCTCTGCCTGGTTCATTACATCCTCACTTGGATCCTGTATCCCGTGCTGTGTGTCGCTGCACTGTGGGGCTACTGTGGAGCCTGTGTCAGATGTCACATCTGCTGTGGACTGAGGTTGATTTTGTTGCCTTTTCCTACGAATGCGATGCCACATTCTGTGAATACTGAGTGATCCAGCCGAGGTAAACCAGCGGTAGCACTCTGGACAATTGAATCTCATCTGTGTGGCTTCACCTTCAATTTGGCTGGCTTGGGGCTCAATGGGCTCTTCAGCCTGTTCAAAGTCAACCTGCACAATGTTCAAGTCAATTGCTGATTTTGAAACCCGAGAAGTTTCTGTGCCACTGTCTCTCATTTCTTGATCTGATTCACACAGAAGCTCAAGATCAGGATTTGGCTCATGAACAGACTCACTGTCTGATTCACTTGCACTGATCACTTGAACATTGAAGTCTCCAGGACCATAACACAGTCCATCTTCTTCTTCAGTGTCGTACACCGCTGGATGATCTTCTTTAAGGTGTGAATCCACTGGCAATCTCGATTCCACATATTGCTCCACATTCTTAATCTCATTAATCTCACTTTCTCCAAAAACATTTCTGTGGTGAAGCTGATGGGAATTAAGAGCCGAAGCCCTAGAAAACTTCAGCCCACATTCCTGACATTCAAATGACTTCTTCTGTAGCTGCGTCACCTGATTCGTGAAAGATTTTGCTGCAGTGTCACCACTGTGGAACAAACGCTTATGCTTGTTATAGAATGTTGATGAAACAAATGTTTTTCCACATTCCTCACATTTAAATTTATTTTCAGCACCAGACTGTTTAGCATGCCATCGTTGATGGTTTAGAAGGGCAAGAAAGCTGCCAAACTCCTTCTGACAGTCATTGCAGTGATACGTTTTCTTCATTTTCTCTTTACGTCCTTCTGGAGACCACTCACAAACTGTACAAAATCTTCTATGAGTTTTAAGGCCTATCAAAGCAGTAAAGGATTTTCCACATTCACAATTAAAATGTTTTCCAGGAGCAGTGTTTTTCTGGATTTCTTTAGGCTTGTCATCAACTACTGACTCATCAGTAAACCCCACATCTCCTGAATTTCTATTTTTTGACTTAACTAACTTTTCCTTATGATAACGGCGGTGTGCATCAAGAGCTGAAGCACGAGAGTAGGTCCGCCCACAGAATTCACAGTTAAATGATTTCTTTTTTAAATCTTTAAGGTTGTTAAAAAGTGATTTGGCAGCAGGTGTGTGAGAGCGCTGATGGTTGATCAAGTAGCCGACACTAACATAACATTTTCCACAGTCTGGGCATTCATAAGACTTCTGTTTAGTCTCAGACTCCTTTTGAGAGGCTTGACCATGGCTCTTCTCCATGTGCAAGTGGAGCTCACTCAGCTCAGCAAATGAGAGTGAACACACAGAACAAATGTTAGCTGCATAATTGTCCTTTTCTGCAACAGGTAAGCTATCCAAATGGTCATTTAAATGTTTTTCAGTATGATGCTGATGACAGTGCTCCAAGTAAGTGGCCTCCTCTTGAAAGGTTTCTCCACACTTCTGACAGCAGAGGTCTCCAACCCCTAGAAATAGAGGTGGAAAAAACTGATGTTAAAGCTGCACAGAAACCAACAAATGTCACTGCACACATGTATAAACAATATAGATTGAATTGCAGTTTGTTTGTCATTTTAACTTTATATCACAAACAGCCATTGTCTTACAAAAATTTGGATAATTATAAATGTAAATAAATAATTCCAGAAGATATCAGACACAGAAGATATATTGAGTTTTAAACAGTTTCCCAATAAAAGCAATTCTACAAACAATGGTTAACAGTGATGCTAGAACAAGAGTAAACTGTAAAGTGACTGGGTGCTGTGTAGATGCTTTGCATGGTAATGTTCGTTATATCCATCTGACGACTCAGGTGTCAACGTTTACACATTTCACTTTTCAAAACAGAAATCTATCAATTGCATATGACTTTCAATTCCTATGACCTGTTATTCAGTAAATTACTATATACTATTAATTATTGGATTAACTAAAGTAATAACACTGCTTTTGCATGTGTTTATATTTATATTAAATTAAAAAACAGAATACTGCAAAGCAATTTTTCATGAAAGGTATTGTTCAATAATCGTACATAGATTTCTGTGCTGTTGCTCAGCTCTGTCCAAATGTTAACATTATATAGATAGTTCAAAGCATTAAAAAAAATGCATTTATCAGAATCCTAAGTCCTTGACTTGGCCTAGTCACATGGTTCGCACTGCAGTAACCACGTTGTTCCCTGCATGATTAAAAGCAATTAAAATACAGTGCAAAAATGCTTTAAGTGAATGTTTTTGTTTTTTAATTCTTTACACTTAAAACAAGTTGAAGAAATTGCAGTGATTTACTGTACACGTTGTAATGGAAATAAATCATGCAAAGAGTTGAGTCCCTACGTTTTCCCGTGAAATATGTATATATAACATAATAGATCCTCCCTCTCTTTTTTTCAAGAAGCACTTGAAAACGTTTTTCTTCAAAGAACATCTCCCATCCTAACAAACCCACTTACATCTAACATGCACCTTCTTCTTACTCTATGACCTGCTATGTTTACTGTAGCTTGATTGTTCCTGAAACTGCAAGTCAAGGCTTTGGATAAAAGCGTCTGCTAAATGTAATGTAATGTGAAAAATCATGATTCAAAGGTCTGCAGGGTAGGTTTGGGTAGCATTCCGATGCTAACACCGTTGAACATATAATACGTACTGGCATCCAGTGAGTCTTCAGTGGCTGAAATATCAGCGTCGTTTTGCGAAGTGTTGTGTCCATTAGGGTAAGTGTTTCCAGCTCCGTCTTCTGTGGTTGCAGAAACCGTTGCCGTTACGTCCATTTTGGTACAGCGGTTTGGTTTTGCTAGCTCCCGGGAGCTTATTATGCTAATCACGTTACAGCGCCACTACAGGTTTCCTCTTTCAAAGACAAGCTGTGTTACAAATGTTTATATGACACACACTTGCCATAAGCAACTAATTATTCCAGTTTTACTAAGGCGAATATTGATGAACGGCGCAATTTGCTGTGAAATATTAACACCTGCACCGTGTGGCTCTAACCGGAAGTATTTTCTTCTTCGCGTGTTTTACAAAAAGCAGGAAGAACAACGATTATAAAAGCCTCCCACTTCCATACGTTAGTAATCGTTAAATATATATATTTAAATATCTATATTATATCATATATCATATATTTGCTTTGAGCATTAATGTGTTTTATTTTCTTAACTGATTTGGGGTTGAAACGTTATTTAAAGTTTATATTAAATAATTTTCAACTAGCGCTGCAACACGTTCGTTTTATTCATTTGTTATGTTCATGGGACAGTTGTTTCTTTTTCCACATATGATTATATATATATAAAACCATATATAACAATGGTTGTGTTGTCATATGTTTCTTTTTTTTCAATGCTGTTTTATTTTTCAGAATTATTTTACGAAAAAAAGAAAGAAAAGTGGCCATATTAAATACGCCACACCTGGTTAATGTTAGACGCGTAGTGGCTTTACAAATACTTTTAGTGAGTAATACTGGAATAATACGTTCTGAAATAATACACAATAAAAATGACTAGTTATACAACTCCTCTGACTGTTTTAAACAGTGTTTTCCCAACAAGTACAGCACAACACTCAGTTGTATCCAAAGGCAAGATTTATTGAATTCAACATGTAAAATGGGGAGGTTTCTAATTCTATCCATGCTAAAACAGTGGCTAGAGGTAGAAGGGCACACATTATAGTTTAAGACTCTGGACTTTGAACACACAAAAAACCAAAACAAAATGGACCTTGTGTTTATCTTACAGTACAAATGAAGAGTTTCCATCACTTGAAATGGAACCAAAGCATTTTTATATATATAAGAAAGGTGATTGGATCATGTACTGATCTAAATCTATGTTTATGTAACCAAATCAATTGGTATTCACAAATAATACATTGTTTTCACAAGTGAATGTTAAAATAATATCAATATAGTTAGATGAAGAAAGAAACATTTTTGTGCAAAGTCCAATGGAGTTAACACCATGTTTGTCTACGGATTTATTCCGGCACAATGAATTACAGATTACGTTTATGTCTGTCATGAATCCAAATTTTATTACGTATAAATGTATTATTTGACAAGTTTCAGGAAACAAATGATGTAGAAATGCATCATCAGACTAACCCCACATACGGTATACCTGTAACATTATGCTATTGTAAGTAGAGCTTTAATTACACATTGTGTTGACCCTTCCAGTGACTACACATGCTTCCCAGCAGTATTATACTGTGCACGGTATGCTTTCAATATATTGTCTGACACATGTAAAACAGTTCTGCCCTTAAACTTTTTTACAGCATTAAAAGAGCTCTTTGTTTCTGAAGTGAGGTCACAGAGTTAAGCCTACGTTTGAGCAAAAACTAGGCCTAAAAACCAAGACAGCAGACATGCAGACTGTACTCAATAAAGGCACACAGTACATATACTGTACATGAAGAAACACAGTTCAGGACATAGGCTAAGAAGTATAAAAGTACAGTAAATATTGTCTAAATCTAAAGGTCATTGGCAATATATGAAATGTCCACTGAAACCCCATTCATTTTTTACCCTTGGGAAAAATGCATATACTCAGATTTAGTGTCATGTTTTGTGTACACTTATAGAAAACCACTCTTCTGCATGTTAAATTTAATGGATAAATTAAATTCAGAGATTGTTTGACTGTGCTGGCTAAAGTTGTCATGCCCATTCATTCAACCACTCAAACTGGGGTCAAATAAATGAAGTTCAAATCAAAACACAAAAGGAATTACATGTCATCACTTAATTGATAAAGTCATGTTTATGAGAGTATTTCAAATCTCTCCTTGTGCATGTTGCAAGTAATGCATTTGTAGATCCAGTTCCCGAGGGAATGAGCAACCACATATCATGCACTGCAGAAGTCGTTCTGGGGTAAAAGGCAAACGAGGTCCGAGTTTGTGGGGTTCAGTCTGTGGGGCAAGCAGCGACTGTGGTACATGTGGTCTCTCGCCCATGACCGCCTGTGGCGTGAAAAAAATATTTGTGTGTGGGGGTCTGGGAAGTGTACCTACTGTGACAGAATGAAGAGGGTGTGGTCCGGGCAGTGCAAGAGGAGGGATTGGGGTAAGTGGAGGTAAAAAGGGAGAAGGCTGATTTATGATCAGCTGAGTGCCTGTTACCAAGTGTTGTTGCTGTAACTCTGCTCCATTCCCTGCTTTGAGTTGTCCTGTGAGCACCGTCTGACCTACAGGGTTACTTTGGAAGCCCCATACTGAAGTTCCTAACCCCTGGCCAAAACAGTGAGGCTCGTATGGAGTGGAGATGGAAACCTTTGGTGTGGATGTCTGAGCGGATAAGTTAACCCAACCGGGTGACGGTGAGGCTTGTTTCTGATGCACCTGGACATCATGATTAACTACACCTTCTGGGGAAATGTTAGTCTTTGGAATTCCTTGTGGTGTTTTTATGTCCCATACAGAGCTGCCAGCCCCGAGAGTGAGAGGAGCTGAACTTGGTATAGCACTGCTTTGGTCTATTTGAGCTGAAGTTGATGCACCTGCCAAGCCCAAGACCAGCTTCTCTGGCTGATTAACAGAACTAGTGTCCCACATCATACTCTCCTCATTTTTAGGTGTGGTTGGTTCTTTTAGTGTTGACACTGGGGCACCTGTCAATCTTGCCACTTGATGCTCTTGACCCAGCTTGTTTGGAGACTTTTGTTGATTTGGTACTGGAGAGGGTCTAACGCTCCACAGAGCTGCCCCATCCGTGTAGGAGGGAACTGAAAAATCATGTTGCAGAGAGCTTGAGACGGGCAGCATTGTAGGTGGAGGTGCGTTGGTCCAGTTTATCAACTTGGGCTGCAGATGCCTCTGCTGCTCTGGGTCATTCACTGCTAACAGACTGGATGTTTTTGTAGTGGGCGTCTGGAGAGTGCCGACAGTTGACTCAGCACTCTCTGTGGCATGGGAAGACTTGGAGCTATCGGCCCAGGCTGGACCTCTCTGGAGGTGCTGCTGTTGACCGACCTGTGATATGGTGTCTACCTGTGGAGCTGCATGTTGCTGCTCCTTCGTAGTTGAAACAGGCCTTAGTTCTCCCCTATCAACCTTCCACTGCACCGGCTGAGGATTAACCTCAGACATGCCTCGGTCCTTCTGCTGCCTGCTTTGCAAATCCACGTGTGGCGAGCGAGTAGACGATCGCTGATTTACAGTATTCCTATGCATCTCCTGGTCTTTTAATGAAGAAACTAAACATGGATGTGACTGAGAGTTATCCACCCCAGAGTTTACTAATGGTCTGGACCGGTCCCAGTCTGATCTGTCTCCTTTCTTCACACTGCTTCCCCCTCTGCCTCTCAATCTAGAGCCCAAAGAATCATAATGACTGTAAGTTTGGCGCTTACGAGCATGGATTTTCTGGTGCACCAACAAGCTACTAAACCAGGAAAACGTTTTGTTACATTCCTCGCAGCGATGAGGTCTCTCACCCGTGTGCGTGTTCATGTGATCTCGGAGCAAGTAGGCCAACCCGAAGCTCTTGTCACAAAGGGTACACTTGTGAGGTTTGTCACCGTTGTGTGAAAGCATATGCTGCTGCAGTTGGGTCTCGTCGCTGTAGCCTTTGCGGCAGCAGGTGCAACGGAAAGGTTTCTCCTGATGAAGCCTCTGATGGGTTCTCATGTTCTGCAGAAAGGCAAACTCTTTGCCACAGTCAGAACATTTGTAGGGCTTCTGGCCTGTATGAATGATGACGTGTTGCTGCAAATAGCTGTTGAATCTAAATGACTTGCCACACTCTTTACACTGATAAGGCTTGTCCTTGGAATGTATGCGCATATGCAGGTCTAACACCGAGCGATGGCGGAAAGTCTTTCCACACTCGGAACACCGATACGACTTGTTATGACTAACACCGAAAACATCCCTCACACCCTTCCCTTGAACAAAATCACTACTGGGCAAATTTTGTTGTTTTTTGGGTGACGAGGCCAATTTTTCAAAACATTGTGCTTGAGTCTTGTGTACACTTAAAATATGTATTCTTAAACTAGATTCATCACGAAAAACGGAAGGGCAGTGTGAACAAGTGTGTCCCTTTGTCCAGTTCTTTTCTTCCTTTGTTTTGGATAATCTGTCCAGTGTTTCATACTCATTCTCATGAATGAGCATGTGAGTTTTTAGGTCAGATGGTACGGAGTAGCTCTGGGAACAAAATGGACATCTGAACCTGTGTTTCTGGTCCTCCCTCTGGTGGGAATTTTCTTTTTCTACCTCTTTGACTGTGTCCTCTACAGGTGGAGAAGACTGTTTGACGGGCTGCTCCTCATTGGAAGAGTTGGTTTTCTTGTGCCGGTGCTGACGACAGTGTGCCTTCATGTTCTGGGCGAAAGCAAACCTTTTACCACACTGTGGACACTGGAAGGGCTTCTGACCTGTGTGAAGAAACTGATGCTGCTGGAACAGGCTGCTGTATTTGAAGGATTTACCGCAGATGTTGCAGAGGAAAGAACGTGTGTTGTCTGTGTGTCTGCGGCGGTGGTCCTCCATGACGGAGTGATGTTTGAAAACCATGCCGCACTCCGGGCATTCGTAGGGCTTGAGGGCGCCGTGACTTCGCTGGTGACAGCGCAGGGTTGCGATGTTTGGAAATATTTGATTGCACTCCTGGCATGTAAACATCTTGTCTTGGGAATGGGTCATCATGTGCTTAGTGACAGACACTTTAAATTGGAAGTCCTGACGACACAGGGGGCAGTGGTAAGGCTTTTCAGCTGCATTGGTGCAGTTATGTTCCCTCAGTTTGAACACCGTAAGGAACAAACGCCCACATTCGGCACATTCAAAGTTGCTCTCATCTTTCGTTTGCATCTCCTTCTTTGGAACAAGGAGCACCTCCTCCTTCTGCTTATGTTCGTTTTTGTGTTTAACGAGGCCACTCCGGTGCTGAAAGGTAAGGCCGCATTCTTCACAGGTGAGTGGCGTGAGGTCATCCTTTTGTGGATGTAAGTGGCAATGAAGGTCGAACATCTCACGGCGCGTGAAACTCTTCCCGCAGACCTGGCAAATGAAGAGGACATTTTTTTGTTCATCAGTTAAATCAATGTCCTCCTCGTCCTCCTCGTCCTCTACAGCCCAGTCCTCCGGGTTCTCAGCTTCTGCTACATGCTCATCAGAATGGTCCTTATCTGTGACTATTGAGGAGCTATCGTCTTCGTACAACTCTGCTTCCTCTTCCTCCTTCACATCTGGTATGTCGTCCTCATGCTGCACTTTATTTAAATTCTCTTTAATGTTGCCGACATCTGCAAGAGTAAAAAAAAAAGAATAAAATTAGTCATCAGGTGACATTAATCAATCACTAGATAACAACAACTCTATGACACTCTTAAGATGTTTTCTAATTGAATTATGTCCCCTTAAATAATAACACACAATTCTTTGGTAGAACTAGTATTTTCATTTATATACAATACAATAAATACTCAATGAACTGGATGCCATAGTTATACTGGTGAAACAGCTCATGGGGAAACGGGCTGAAGTGCGGTGTGTAGGTGTGAGCTCAACCCAAGCCACAGTGAGCACACCAGCAGCAAATGTCAGTCAGTTTCATTTTAGTTTTCATTTTCTTGTTTATATATGGCTGTTTTAATGTAAATGAAAACATATTGATCTGTTTTAAACAAAGTGTCTCAGAATTGAGGCTTTCTGTCTATAACTTTGTTTTTCATATAGATAACATATTACAAAATCAGGTGTCGAAACAGGACTTTGTTCAGTAATAAGAGGAAAATTACCTTTTTCAAACAGTCAGTGTGTTAAAGATTTAGACCAATTTCACGAGATTTCAATATGGATCTGACTC